AGATATTTAGGGTTACGAAACTTGATAGGTGTCCTGCCATCATCACTGTTGCCAGAGAAGTAGTAGTTCTGTATTTCTGAGTCTTGAAGTTGCTTAAGCACGGGAACATATGAAGCATTTAACCAACTGAACTCTTCAAACTTCTGAACTTCCACAGTCACCCCACGGAAATCATTCATGGCAAACCATGCCTTCATCGAAGCATAATTAATTTCATCAGTGACAAGGTGGAAAACAATCATATTGGGATTTTTGGAATTTATTGCAGTTGAATTGACCACAACCGAAGTTGCAAGAATGTTATCAGAGAACACACAAAAGTGGTATAGATTGTTATCCTTAAGTTTCATCTCCACATGCCTTTTGTCCTTCAATTTCTTTTGCAAATTAAGGTTTTTGAACCATTCTGTTGTCAACCGGACACCAAGACAGTATAGGCTTTTTGGAACTTCTTCAGCAGCTATTTGTCCATATTTTGAACTCTTTTCACTTACCGAATTCATCTGTTCTTCAAGAGCTTGAATTTTTGCTTTGAATCTCATGATCATGGTTGCACTGTCATAATGGAGCTGCTGGGCCTGGTATAACAATAATGCCATATCATGGATAGCACTTTCTGATTCCCTGGTTGTTAAAGGAGCACGCCTAGTGGCAGCATTTGAGAGGAGAATCTGTGAATTGCGGATTTGGGCACTTAATTCCCAAGCAAATTGGAGATTGTTACTTTCTTTTGCAATTACAACAAAAGCTTTTGCTAGGGATATCTGATCATTAAGTTGTCTGGTCACTGAGTTAGGGCTTAACATCTCTTCAGTAATATTAAGGCCTTCCATAATTCTCTCATGCTTGTAAGTTCTCTGCACAACAGGATATAAGAAGTTATTAGCTAAAAAAGGACAACAAGGACCTAATCTCCTCCCTCCCTGCCCCCTCTCTCCCCCAAAATAATAATAATAAAAAAAAAATTCTGACTTTGTAATATGAAATCAAGCATGCCATGGAAGCTGCATCTAACAACTTAATCAATTTCAAATACTGATTTGTATGATCCATACATTATCCTTTCTGAAAAAGTTTGACTATTCAGTTACAGTTCCAATTTAGAAACAAAATTATAATAAATATCTTTATGAGGAACAATGGCTTTTCGCTGTAGTAAGGAAAAGAAATGTATGAGACATAATGTCTGACAATAGCAACATCTGGAAATATCACTATTCTGCCCATTGCAAAACAAGGTTTACCAATAGCTCCCCATGTGATTGTAGTAATTTTAAACAAATTTAATAAAATGAGCAAAGAGTAGTAGCATGGTATGGATTAAAATAAATGATTATGTGAATTTTTCTTCATTACTATATGTTGATGGCTTCGATGGTTTGAAAGATGTATTATGAACTTAAAAAATCATTGTCTGAGCCATCTTAGACTAGCAATTCATAGAAATAAATTGTGCAAGGGTTGATCTCCTAATAAGATCAGTAGTTTAAAACATCTAATCTAGCATAGCACTACTATTACAAATTATTAAGCGTTCGAGTTCTGAACTGATGTAAAAAGTGTATATTGTGTACTGAATGTAAATACTCCAATTTTGTTTATTCAATCCTGTATTTCATACTAATCGCATAGTGGAATGAAAAGGGTTTGATTCCACACTCCAAAAAAAGGGAAAGATGAAAAACAATCTAAAGCAAACTAGTGCAAAAGCCAGCAGATACGATCTCCTAAAGAAACATGGGGAGAAGTTATACTTACCATCAACTAAGTTTACAAGCTCTTACTACCTCTTTTATAACCGTCACATTAAGATCAAATCAAAGGTTTTCATTTGATACAAATTTTCATTCTCTGTTCAATCACTCCCTCTCTCACCTTCCTCTTTTCATAAGTCTAACCGTTATAAAAGAGGTAGTAAAAGGTGATAAACTTAGTTAGTGATAAGTATAACCTTCCCCAGTAAACATAGCACACAATTCCAAAAGTACAAAATCAGTTTCCAACATCATACAAACAAAACAAAGCACACCAATAACTTGTTCAAAGATCCCATATCCAATCAATTTAACATAACTTGAAGGCTCAAAATCATATACCAAATTTCAAAAAGAAAAGTCTATCATGCTTGATTTTCCCACACATCAACCAAGAGCACAAATCTTCAAAAACCAATTGAGAAAAAAGCATTCATTACCTTGGACAAAGCCTGTGTGGACTCAATCTGGTTACCTTTACTCAGAATATAGATAAAGAGAAGCACCACTCCGCAGCACAATGCCCACCAGAACACATCCGGAACCCTCCTCCGTACTGGCCTGCGAAAATCCGTCGCTCTCCGCCTCATGTTCCAAACTTCCTCCAAACCCCAATTGCGCCCTCCGTTCACTCCTTTTCCCGGAAACTGTTTTCCGGGAAAAATAATGTTCAGGGGAAAGCAGAAAAAGACAAAACAAAGGCTTCCAGATCACGATGTATTACCGAGATCTGCAGGAACTGGGGTTCCCGGATTAAAATATTTGGGGTAGAAAGATTCAAACTTTGGAGAAATATTTGGTTTTGCTTTGGTGGGCATGCGCCGGCGAAGAGCTTTATGTCACTACAGTAAACAGAAAAGAGAGAGAGAGAGAGAGAGAGAGAGAGAGAGAGAGGTGATTTCTCTGACAGACACCGCAGAAAACAGTTGGGATTTATGGAAGTGGTTTCCTCTGATTGTGTGTGCAAACTAGGTACACTCTTATTTTTGGTCTTTCATTTTCGACGTTGACAAACGGTCCTGATCGTGCCATGTCAACTTATAATAAAGGTTAAAGGTTTCGTTTACCAAAAAATAAAAATAAAAAGTTAAAGGTTTCGATGATCCATTTCAATCCAATCAAGGATGGTCGGTTCTCAAATTTGCATTGTCTTCTTAAACGCAATAAAATGAGAGACGAACCACAACAATCCCTCACGAAAGTGAAATATATAAGATGGTGTTTTGTTTTGAGGTAGAATATAAGATAACGTATGGGAAAAGAATAGTCCTAAAACATTATATATAAACTACCAAAGTTTAGGCATCTATTTTGTTATACAAAAGACCTTTCTTACATTGCTGCTTTCATTGCTTACATAATTATATCGGGCAACTAGGCAATTTATTGTTCGCATTTAATCTACATTTGTCATGTCAATGGCACAAGATATTTGTAAGTTCGAACTTATCACCCAACCTTGTCAACACTTTTTTTGGTAAAGTATTGAAATGGAATTAAAAGGTGTAATTTTATTTTACTTTTCGTATGTTGTTGAAAGTGAAATGATTTTCATGATAATAATATACCGAGTAAGAAAATAATATATTATCTCGTGTAAATATTTAACCAAAACATTTCATGTTAGGATAATAATGTTATAGCTCAGTTGCTTTTCTCCCGATCATCAAGGATTGTGGTGTTTAGGGTGAGAGGACGATTCCGCGCAACCTATTTCTCTATTTTCTCACCTAAATTCGAACAGAAATTCACACTGAAAAAAATGTTTGTTTACAGGTTCGAAGTTCAAACTAAGCCTTTATGAGAAGTAACTCGAGATAGAGGTTGCAATAGTATTTCTCTTCTTTATTTTAGTATTTTACTGTACCATAACAGAATAATTTACTGATGAAATGTGTGTAATGTATATCTTTTCTGTAGTTATGTGAGTGAAGTATACATGTTCATGATAAATCTTCAAAGCAAACAACCTAAAAAATATGGGGTTTGCATTTGTCATTTAACATGACACAACAAAGTTTCCTACACACATAACATTTTGTGGGGTCTACATTTTTTTAAGAAAAAAGAAAAAGAAAAAAATTACAGCACGCAAAACGAATCTCTATAACATTACACAATCATTTTTCCTACAACATAACTCTTATAAAACCCAAAAAATATACTTGAAAAAATAAGTAAGTTTAATAGTTAAAGGAAATATGTAAGTTCAAGATATCTACTTAGCTTTACTTTTATCACATTTTCCCTCCACTTACGACTTAAAACCATTACAAATAAATATTATACATTTTTTGGGAAGGGTTGGAGCAGTTGAAATTTCATGAATGTCGAAATGAGTCTATGTAATAATCGAAAATTATGTCCACTACGAATATAGCCAAAATCTTCTTCTCTAGTCTCTTCCGCCAAAATATCCTATGGCGTTTTTTCCTCCCCAAAGCCAAAATAGATTTCCATCACAAACCAGCCATGTCTATTCAACCAATGGTATTTTATGCTATGCATGAAGCCTCTCAATTAAAACGGCTAATTTATTATCGCCACAGTTGGCAAAAAGGATAAGCACATTTTTAGATAAATTCAAAACTGTCTTTTATCCTCTATATTGTTTTCAAGCAAATCAGAAATAAAACAATAGTCAACATATGATAAGATTACTTGATGCGGGAGGTTACACGCAGCTGAATCCAATTACAGAAATTATCAATCTGATATAAGCACAAAATATTGTGTCAATATAAGCAAATCTAACAGTCCAATTGCTCATCTCATCTTTGGATTAAGATATGTTGTCTAAAGTAGATATCTATTCCATTAAATTCAAGAAAAAAGATCATGTTTTGAGGTAATTCGTCTTGCAAGGGACCTGGAAGGAAACTCAGTAAATAGAATGATAGGTGTAAAGATCTATTTCAACCCAAAAGTTTAAGGTGTTAAGTGCAAACCTTTTTAATGGTTCATATTATTCTCTAATATATCCCTTCACATGAGAGCCTCTTAGGCTTGAAGGATAGACAGTGCACAAACCCACCTACCTATACTAAGATACTCCACAATATTTAATTATTATTAATTGAATGAGGAGCAGTAAAATCGAAGCTCAAATACCATATAAAGAACCATTTCAACCCAAAAACTTAAACTGTTAAGTGAAGACTTTTTTAATAATTTATATTATTCTCTGACACTTGGAAACTAGAATCAATATCACCAAACATCACATAAATATCAGCCTTTCAAAATTAAGCATGGCAGGGAAAGACCATAACAAACAAATGAAACAACTGGAATCTCAATCAGAAACTCATGATATCCCTTATCTCATTATATGGTAATTATAAGAAGTCAACTACAAACAAAAGAGACAATTACTCCTTTCACTGCAAAACCACATGTAAATTACATATACTCTCGATCACTTCCTAAAAAGGCCGCTGGAATCCTCCTAAACCGAATAGAGAATGAACGAAAGCTGATTCACTAACAACAGGGATATTCACAAACGTACCCAGAAGCGCACACTTTATGCACTGCATCACTACGAGAATATATGCCAACGCCACACCAGCCCAGTAATAGATCCCAAACGTTCCCTTGAAGTGTATAAGTGGCATGAAATTGCTTGAAACCCATAGTATCTGCAAAGCAATTTCCAAAAGCATTCCCATCATTACATGGAATCTGAAAAGAATGGGCAAGTCCTTATTTTTTACCACTCCCACAATAGCCAAATAGCAATATAATATAGGGAACCAGTTTGGTAATCTGTTAACAGCTCCCGGTATATAAAAAATCAAATTTTCAAAGAAGGGGAATTTTTGAAGTAAAGGTTCCAAATAAAACCCAGTTGCAGACATCTGCAATGCCACTAGATAGGGAATACAGCATAACGTCCTCCACCACCATTCTGGCTTCTCAGCATTTGCAGGCAGTCGGAAGCCAGATGAATGATATATAAATGCTTGTGCACGGATCTTAGAATTGCATCTTTGAGACATAGGAACTCTGAGTGAGGGGCGAGCCTGATTATCAGTAAATAGTGGAGATGAAACAGCAGTGAGTTGTGTAGGTGATTTTCCTGAAATCAAAAAGGGGATTAAATTATTAAAAACTAGAAACAATTTCTAAGCATTGCAACTAAACAATACAAGCAATTTGAAAAGGGTGTTGTATTTATATAACATAGTGTATGAAGGTCTTATTGTCTTTGTATTATTGAAATAAACAAAAATGTTATGAGATAATAGGGCACCTGCAATAATTACTTCTCTTGAGTACTGTCAACAAGAGATAAACCAAAATCATTATACAAATCTCAAATGTCCTCTTATCTCATTATTTTTATAGCAAATATTTTGAAAGAGACCGTTTTATTAAAATCAAATAAATGCAGTTACTTAAATCATGAAATCACATAGATACCAACTCACCCAGAGAATTGCCTGCAAAAGCCATGACTGCATGACTTTTTTTCATGGAGATTGAAGTGTTGCATCTTTCTGGAATCAAATCCCTATTCCTAGTTAAAAAAATCAAATACAAACAAACTGTGAGTTCTAAACACAAAACAGCGGAGAAGCAAGGAAAAACAAATTATAACAACCCATAATTATCAAATAGAAAATTCGAAACGGCGCGAATCGAAAGTCTTGTTTTTTGTTGAATGGTGAATCAAAACATGTTGCGAATCATAAGATACAAGATCAATTATTATAAAAAAAAGAAATAGAAAATGTTTTTAACATAATGAAATTACAGAAATACCTGAAAGGAAAACGTAGAAGAGAAGAGTGGACACAGGCTCCTGCTGCTACTCCCAATTGAGGTGCCATCTTCTTCTATTACAGAGCTGATTTATTTTATTTTTTAATTTATGTTTTTAATTTTTAGGGTTTATATAGAATCATTGCGCCTCTTTCTGGAAATCTCCGGAGACAGAAGACCAGAGTCGGTGCTATTGGCTTTGCCAATAGGGTTTTTACTCCTTCTACAAGCAAATGTTGCTATTAAGATATTTGAAAATTATTACATGATAAAGTTATCATATAAGATGTTTTCCTCATTTTATTGAACGAGAAACAAATTGACAACAAAATTTTAAGGGAAATGATTAATTTTACCATCCAAACGAGATAAAATAGTAGACTTCATTATTTATTTTTATTTTTATTTATTTTGAAAAAGTAGTGGATCTTATTATCTTGTATGGGTGGGTTATATTTATTACTGATAAATTTTACAACTCTTACTACTAAATTAATTATCGTTGATTTTTATTAATCTAACGGTTATAATTTATTGGGTAATACTTATTAATTAATTATTAATTCTCAGAAAAATATAATTGTTAGATTTATGAAAATCAACGGTAATTAATTTAGTAGTAAAAGTTGTAAAAAATTTCAGTATTAAGTATAATTTATTATTCTTATCTTGTTTTTCACCTTGAATTGGGGAAATGATCTATGTTACGCCCAACAACAAGCCACCTGGTTCCATAGTACAGGGCATCTGGGTTTGTTTCTTCTTGACACCCTATTTCAATTTTTTATGTAAATGTTCATAACTATGGCTGGGTTGGATGAATTGAGAAAAAAGTTTGCATTTTTTTGATGCTGAAGCGCAATTAAAGAGAAAGAAAGGGGAGCAAAGAGAAAGAGAGAGACAGTGGGAGAGACAAAGAGAGAGACAGTGGGAGAGAGAAAGGGGTAAAAGAGTTTATTTTATATTGTAAATCTCCACCATTGGATGAAATTGTAATCTAACGGTATTGAAAGGAGTAGGGAAAGGTATGCATAATAACTTATCCCATATTTATATGGGGTTTGTATTTTTGCAGTAGTTGTACGTGCAGCAGTCAAATAATTGTCATATATATATATATATATATATATATATATATATATATATATATATATATATATGAGGTAGGATCGTTTGACACCGGTGTCAAATTTGAAATTTGACACCTCATCCGAGAACCGTTGGATCAAAAAAGATCAATGGTGTCACATGCTTACAAATCAGAGTCGTTGATCTTTTTTGATCTAACGACTATTAGATGAGGTGTCAAACTTCAAATTTGACACCGGTGTCAAAAGATCCTACCTCTATATATATATATGTGTGAAAACATTAAATATGGAGAATCATAACCATACAAAATATGAAAGCATTAAAAGTGATGAATCATAATCATACACCTCCCATTGTTGTACGTGAAGCAGCTGTATAAATGATTTTACCTCTCTCTCTCTATATATATATATATAGGGTTCATTTTTTGTACAATCAATGTAAATAAGTTATCTACATTGAGCTCAAAATGACCTCATTTTGTGACGAAAAACAAGATATTTTTGTAATTATAATTTATTTTATGGTTATAATAGTCTTTCTTATTATATTTTTTAAATTTTTCAACAAAAAACAACATCATACTTATATATATAGGGGTAAATATTTCTACAGTCACTTTAGATAAGGTTATCTACAGCTACCCCAAAAACTATGTCGTTTTGATTAATGAAGTGTGTTTCTGTAATTTTAGGTGAATTAATTAAGGGTGTTTCGTAATTTTATTTATTTTTTTATCATATACATTTTACTGAAACACCCTTAATTAATTCACCTAAAATTACATAAACACCCATCATTAATCAAAACGGTGTAGTTTTTAGGGTAGCTGTAGATAACCTTATCTAAAGTTGTTGTAGAAATGTTTTTTTTCCATATATATATATACGGCTTTAACGTTTCTACAATGAATGTAGATAATTTATGTACATTCACTCCCAAAACGACATCGTATTGGGTTGAAAAATTAAAAAATAAAAATAAAAAATATTATTATAACCCTGAAATAAATTATAATTACAAAAATACTTTGATTTCCGCCACAAAACGACGTCGTTTTGAGGCAAAAATCAAGGTATTTTTGTAATTATAATTTATTTCAAGGTTATAATAGTTTGGATAAATTATACAATACCACCTTGTACTTATGTGTTATTTTAAAAGACCACCTTAAACTTTCAATTGAATTAATTAACCCCCTTAAACTATAATTTTAAAACAATTTAGCATATTTAATAAAATTAAGACAATAATGCCCTTATTCTTAACCCACTCATAACCATTATCATCGCAACCTGATCTTGTACCACAACCCTCCGGTCGTCACCTTATCACCAGCTATCCTAGTGCTCATCCTACTCCTACTGCTAATGCTATTGCATTATTGCTTCCTTTTCTGTCACACGCATTCTAACAGCTTGAAAACAAGCCCTTCGTCGCTAACTAGAGTGCCAAAACAAAACCTAGGCAATTAAAGCAATGATTGACTGTCCCTGCCCATTCTAACGGGGCATTCTCTAGCAGCTCCAAGACAAGAGCTGATAAGGCAAAAACAGAACAGTTGAAAAGGCATGAAAGAAGGTAGTAACTTCTTAAAACTCAAAACTCTAATTGGTGAATGAATCGTTAAACATTATGTTTTTTTGTATAAAAAGTAATTTGTCTTACATTTGTCTTATATTTCTCCTCTTATGGCCGGTGACAAGATGGCAACCAAGGCGGCGGTGCAATTAGTTGGTGGTGGCAATGGTTATGGTTAAGAATAAGGGTATTATTGTCTTAATATTATTAAATATGTTAAATTGTTTTAATATCATAGTTTAAGGGAGTTAATTGATTCAAATGAAAGTTTAAGGTGGCTTTTTTAAACAACACCAAAGTACAAGGTGGCTTTGTGTAATTTACCCTAATAGTTTTTTTCATTATAATTTTTTAAATTTTTAACCCAAAACGACGTCGTTTTGGGAGCGAGTGTAGATAACTTATCTACATTCACTTTAGAAATATTAAAGCCTATATATATATATATGCTAATGTTTCTTATATTATTGGAAATAAATTTTTCTTCTATATATACATAAAAGCGCGCAGGGCTCATATTTTTTCTTTATCTATCTTCTTGTTACATGGATCCTACACACTTTTTTATTTGTGAGTAGGAAATAAATTTATCTCCTACAATATGATAAATATTAAATTCATCTATATATATAATATAAAATTTTATAAAAAAAATATTTAAAACTCATTATGATATAGTAAATAAGAGTATATTATTAATTAATAAGTAAAATAACAAGAAAATCTAAAACGACATTTGATAAAGGAAAAGTTTGTTTGTTCTTGAGAATAATTATTTTTAGGAATATGATGGGAGAGTGAATTTTTCAGAAATATTACTAAATATTGTTTGGTAAGCCAAAATATTACCTGAAATATTGCCTCAAATTTATTGATTTAATATTTGATGATTGTAAAATATTGATAAAATGTGAGTCATTTTACAAAATTAACCTCGTGGGCACAATTTAACCGAAAATGTAATTTCACCAGATCTGGAAGCTGTAGGAGCAATTAGATAATGCGGAAACGTTAAGACCATTGTGATTTGGATGTATAGGATCATCATTGTTTACAATTACCTCTTGTAGCGCAGATCTGAGATGATGCTCCACAAACTACAGTCCTTTGCGTCACAGCACGAACTCACGAACTGATTTCCTCAACGCCGCATTACTATCAACCTCTTTGAAGCTGGACTGTGGCAGATCTTCCAGACTATGTCTCAAGGGAAAATGGGAAATGTGTGGGTGCTCTCTCACTTTCAGGGAGATGACATTACCTCAGCCTCTGCAACTACCAAGTGAAGACTAGTCAGGCTGATGACTATAAGTGTAGAATATATATGGGTTCAAGAAACCCTAGCCCTAAGCAGAATGGGCTTTAGGTTTCTTGGGTTCTTCTTACACACTAGGCCCTATTGGGCTTTAGTGAAAGAGCAAAATCCAACAATCTCCCACTTGCTATTGAGTACAAACTTGAACCCAAAGCCCAAGTCCATGTATCCCACTAGTCGTCATCAACTGAAATTGCCCCATCCCTTATGTTGAGCTAGCCTGGGGACCTACTATCTGTTATTAATCAAGGCTTTTGATAATCAACGAATAATTATCTAATTCGGTGCTACTCTACTAAAAGCCCGAACTTGAACTCCAAGATTAATAACACTTATAACACGAATATGCATCGCGCCCTTTGTAGAATGTCTGTAATTGATTGACAAGTTTTTTGTAACTCGATCAATTATTTATTCCCTTGACTATGATAGTTTCTCTAATGGATTACATGCATTGGCCAGTATCTTCAATATCCAAGTACTGAAACATATCAAGGGGACATATCCTACAAATTTCATGTTGTTTATCTCATAAATAATGATAATCAAATAATCTCATTCCCAAAATACCGAGTTATTGGCTGTCAATAGATCGAACCTCACCCGTTGGTAAATCAAAGAATGAAAACTATTTGATTACCTATTTATAATAAACTCAGGATTAAGAGCAATTACATAACTATAGTCAACTGGAGATTTGATACCTTATGAAAAAAAAAACATTAATCAAATCTCATCTTGATCCTTTCAATCTGAACGTTAATTCACACCAATATTTTATAATGATTCGAACAAAACCATTTCATAAAATATTGCAGCCTAAATAAAGTGCCCAACTTTATTTAACAACTGTGAATCTATTCATCAATTGTGATAACCTATGATCATGTCCTCCATGAACGTATCCATATGATCATATACTCCACAAATACAATTGATCTGGACTTGATGTTTGTAAATAGTGGGCAAAATAAAAAATAATATCTCATTTGTAAAATTCAAAAAATGATTACATTGTTTCATTGTCTTACTTCAAAAGCACAATGAACCCAATATCTCCCACTCGCTTAATGCAAGTCTGGGATCCTCCTAAGACCCAAAGAAGTAACATGCCTCTCGAACACAAGTTTAAGCAAACTCTTAGTAACTGGGTCTGCAAGATCCACCTTTAATGCTATCTGAGTTTAGTGAAAAACTCATAGCTCGAGGTTGATTTCTTAAGTCAATATCCACTTGAAA